TCTCCCGCCCGGCCGCTGCCCCTGCTTCGCGGCGCCGCGCCGCCCCGCTCTCGGCCACACTCGACGACGGGGGGCTCCCCAAATCCAACAGCTGTGTGAAGTGTTCGCTACTCTCCACTGTTATGATCCAATTTGCGCAACCAGACAAACCAAACGCCACTCTTAACGGCCAGCGAAGATCCGTTGAGGATTGAATTGAAGTCCGCCGTCCATCAAAAGAAATCCAAAGTAATGAGTAATTCGTAATGATGGCGTTTGGGTATACTTGTTAATCAGCATAATCACGTTCGTGCATATTTATTCGCGTTATTAATATCTTGATTTGAGGAAATCACAGCGCAGTACGCACGTAATCATTCTAAACAATTGTATTGGAAACTACCTACCCCCGATACAAAAAACCAAACGTCTGTAGTTCAATTGGTGAAGGATTTAAAAAAAAGAACACATTCTTACTTTCATTGTAATGACATTCTATATGTCTAAAAATGAACAAATTTAACATTGGAGGACAAAAATGTGCCATTGCCTCTGATGATAAAATTCCGGAAGTCCCAATATTCCAACAGCGAAAACAAACGACAATGCGAGCGAATACGCTGGCTCGATTTTACCTTATCAAATAATTTTCAGACTTCTACTTTTCGTTAGCAAATAGAATATTTTTTATAATAAATCTCACAACATTCTACTTCTCTTGTAGTTAAATTTTTTAAACTAAGTATGTCTCAAATTAAACTAAGTATGTCTTATTTTAATTACTTCTTAATTATAAGATACGGCACTTAATTATGATTTCACGCTAACACTTTCCATAAATCAGAGTTTCTCGAATTTTGAAAAATTGCAATACTCACACATTGTGGAGGATTTAATGCAATAAAAGTTCTCAAAATTACGAGTTTTTAGATTCAGACAATTGTTCAAAAGCAGTTTCTAATTGTACTGAAATTTTTTTTACTGTAATGCACGGTTTATATTGGAAATTGGAAATTTATACAGAAAAGTGGACGAATGCCAATTTATTAGAAGAAAATCTTGGATTATCGTAGTAAATAATGACAAGAACGTGAAAGAAACTCAACTTTATTACTTATCATCAGAAAGTAAATAAAGATGTTAACTTTTTCACATTCTTTCATGGATGTGGTTTACGACTCCCTCCAAGTTTACCGCGGACTTAGTCCTGAAGTTAGTATATTTAATTGTTCAATAAAGCGCAACTCAAATTACATTGTTTTGAATCTTGAATATGCATATTTATATTAATTTTTAAAATAGCTATCTGTTTAAATAGAAATGTTTGAGAATTTGACTCGTCTCTCCTCAGACATCCAACCGCAAATTAACATATGATTTGTTATATTTCATACTTTCTCATCCACTTCTCTTCAAGTTAAAATTTTCAACCATGACAGAATGTATGTCACAGTTTTTGAATGTTCAAAATAACCTTTGAGGAACAGAATAAAAATGTCAGGGTTTTTAAAAACACTAGTTTTGTAAAAGGCAGATTCATTACTTTTAACTATTTTTTTTATTTCACATTTTTGAGAAGTTTTATTTTTTATTCAAATAATATGAAACAAAACTGATTATTGTTGCAAACATAATATTTACAAAATGAATTGGAATGAATAAACCTAATTGAAAATCGTCTTGTTCAGTCTCTTACAAATATTTTTTTCCAATAATTCTCTACATTTAGGTAGGTATGTTGAATGTCAATAGCTTCAGTAGATTGTGCAATGGATCTATGAGGCAGTGAGAAAACTCTTGTGTTAGGATAAATCTCTTCCACCACCCATGAAAATTACTTTTTGCGATTTTTTTATCGTTTTGTTGGACATTATATTGAATGTCATGTTCAAGAGTCACATTTCTTTCCAGCTGAAAAAAAAAGCAAGGTAAAATTTAGAATTTTATGGATTTTATTTTTGATGAAAATACCAATACCCGTCACTTGCTAAAAACGGAAAATAAACACTACGTAATCGCAAAACATTGCAATAAACCCAAAGAACATTTTCCCTAAAAATACAAAATAAACACTTTAATACAGATGCTAATATCAGCCTGAGGCTACTTTTGCAGCTCAACATTTTGTAGCGCGTGCTTCCTGGGCGTGTAAAACCTTTGCTGTCGACCGGCCCTCCACAGCGTCCCCACAAGGACACATTCAAACCAAATCACGTGCCGCTGAGAAGTTCAAATACATTTTATATTAAAAATATTGTTTTAAGAAATACGACAGTTTTTCGTAGTCCTATTAGTTATGAGAAAATTATCAAATTTTGACATCTTGCGGTAATGTGTTTTCTTGATATAATTTATGTCCATGCTAAAGAATACATTACGTAACATTGATTTTAAAATCAACTTTCTACAAAATCAATCGAGCCTTAATGACTTTCCAGAATAGGATTAAGGTTGGAATATCGCGCATCCAGCCTTCTAAAACTTTGGGAATGGAAGTAGTATTTTTCTTCTATTTGCTATTACATAAAACTTACTAAATAATCTTGGAAATAGTCCGCTTGATCAGTTGCGGTGGTACGGACTTGAGATCAACTTGTGCGTACGTAAAGCCTCCAAAGGCAGTGTTCGCGTCCTGCGTGAGCCACGGGTCTCTCCACTGAATGAATTGGGGGATCTTCATACTGACACGTATCCCATCTCCACCTATATTAGCAGTCCATCTACAACCATCAGTCATCATCCTTAACATCATTCACTTCTCGTGACCACCCCTGTCATCATCCGTGCAAGGCACCGGAATCAATACGAAAACCTACACATAAAATCACAATTGTGTCAGAAGAAATCAAAATCTTGAAACTAAGTTTTAGCTTATTTAATTGCCGCTAATCAACAAAATAGTTATCAAGAACAAAATTATTCATTTTTATTCCACTTTTATACTTTGTATTCTAGTTATAATTTAATTAAATATGAAAATTGATTCTAAATAAATTAAATCAACTCATGTTATGTCATATCTTTTTGTATGTTATCTATTCTACAGTCTAAAATGCAGAAGTTGAGACATTTTAAATATTTATGAATTTTTAAATTCCAAGACTGCCGGTAACGAACATAAACGTTCTAACTGCAAGTGTATATATTTTCAAAACAAAAGAGTAATGGAAACACTTTAATGGTTAACAGAGTTTCTTATCAAAATAAGAGGAGCATGGTTCAGCCGTCACTCAGTCTATTTTTCTACCTCTCTCCAGTTTCAGTGATTAAGATGACTATGCTTAGACTAAACAACAGAGTAATGAAATAATGATAACAGTGTATTAACGAACAAATTTTACAGAGGGTAATAGTTTTGTGAAACAATGAACTTAATTGTATATTTCAATATTGATGAATTTCCCTTCCAGACAACTTTACAATTTTGAAATATCTTTCACGGATACAATTACGTCTAAATTAAAAACGGGTAATTTAATCTTAAATTTCCACTACTTATTTCACGAATTCCCATTGCATTGCAATGAAATTCCTTCCAGAACATGTACAATGAAAAGCTCATTCCATCATACAATTCTGGCACTGGGCAGGATACCCAAAGCATCATAAACATTCAACAAATGTTAGCGACTCTCCACACACTGTTAATCTTTCAGAAAGAAATGTCAGCTTGTGTGCTCACATTTTGCGGATAAATATGATATGCGCAAATGTTTCTCTCCCTCTTGCTTTTCACAAATACAAAAGAATACCGTAATACTTTACCTAATTGCAAAAAAGACTGGAATGCAAAACACGGAAAAAAGCATCACATACATCACGGGAAAAATACGTATTCGTATATTCTATGAAATATTGTATTCTTATATAAGCGAAAGCCTACTGTTTAATCCCCTACAGTCGTGACTCGTCTATCTAAACTGATGCATGAAAAAAAGCTCAGAAGAAAATTAAATGCAATTAAATTTGAAAAGATGTAGAGAAGCGAGTTCGTGAAGAAAACACGCCGGCAGAGCGCGCCCAGGCACAGTCGGAGTGTCAGCAGATCGCATAAGGCAAGGCTGCCACTCGCCATATTTGCAGACCTCGGTTGTGCATGTGCTCAACATGCCGAGGAATGAAGCGGCATTTCTCTCTTCGGACGCACGCACGCACGTAGCTGGAGGAGGCAAGTAGCATATATTCATGCAATTAAACATAATTACCGGGAATGGCACACGCCTTGAAACCTAAGTTCGTATGCAGAGAGACAACGTAACATGTCGACAGCCGCCACCTGCGAGGGCGCGTGCAGTTAACCATCGAGAAGACCTGCCCATAGGGCTGGATGTCTGCCTCTATTACGACTATTCTGATTCCTGACCGCAGGGACTCGGGGAAAAGCTGTCTACCAACAACCCTGCAGAAACGGAAAATCTCACTGAATGCGAAACGCCAGTCCCGTAATTTACGCGAGCGAAACATGTTCTTAACGGTTCTACATTACAATTAACCGCATCACGCATATAGAAGACTAATTTTCTCCCCTTCCCATCGCTCCCACGCAGAAACACAATCACCGTTCATATCGCCAGGAAACGTCGCGAGGCTTTTGATACTTCAGCAGTTTTTAATATTCCCGATTTCGATATTGCTACTGTTGAATCGATACTGCGGTAACGTTACGACAACTGCAGTACTGAAAAATCTGTACTCCAGGGTACAATTAACCACTTGTCCTGATTGTTTAATTTTTCAAGCACTTTTTTCTTCACAATTTGGCACATCCTATGTCTGCTCTGAACCACTGTAGAAGATAAAAGAAGTATCGTTTTCCACATATCTAACTAAATAACACACGAGATGTTTATGGGATATAAGTGTGAATAATGATAATGCATGACATTAAAATATCAAGAGAAATCTTTTTATAAAATAAATTGCATATCATTTGTTTATTTGAAATCATATAGTGATACTAATTAATATTAAAAGTATCGATTCTTCAAGTTGTAAAGTACCTATTTCGTGTTCATAATACGATGTTTGGAACTATTACAGTGGTTCTTTGAATAAAATAACATGCCTATCATTAGTTAATTTGACATCTTTTATCGATACTAAAAATATACATTCCTGAAGTTCGATAAACTTGACTTAACAATACTTCGATGTGTCACTATTATCAAAATCAAATATCGTATCGATTGAAATTTCACAGCACCCCCACTCACCAACATTCTCTCGACACGACTGTAGTACACCGCTCGCAATCGAACACCTTCGGAGCGCAGCGGCGTGGGGCGCTGCCTGTAACTTCTGCGCAACTGGCGGAAGCTTTTAGCACATCACGCACGCGCCGTGATATGATATTTCATGTCACAAAAACGTTTTTTCGGAGAGCGAAGTCGCGTTAATTTTCCTATGTTGAATGCCGCGAAACGTCACAATTCGGCAGAGGCTGTCAGAGGCCCTGCGAGGCGACGGCCGGGCAACGAATGGCTGCAGAGGCGGAGGGCGGCATCGTAGATTCTTGTTAAATAATACACTTATTTTTTATAATATTGTATATTATTTATGTTCTGTAGATATAGTTTACAAGATTGTTTAAATCTTACATAATTAGAACATAAATAAATTTTTTTTTTTTTCGAAATAAAGGTAAGTAAACGAAAACTCTTGGCCTTTGCTGGAGGCATGGCCCTCATGCTAGAAGGCGGTCATCACGCAAATAACCGGTTTTACGGATACTCAGGTGTACGGACCTTCGGTTTAACATGTTGGTTATAACCGCCCAAAATGTTAAAAGACGTCCAATAATAACCAATTATTTTCATAGAAATATCAGGTTAAATTTTTTTTCACACAAAAAATAATTTACGAGTATAACACAAATCCAACTTACAATTTCACCACGCAACGGATTTTTGTTCATCACGTTTAGGTTAATTACTAAACAGAAATATCCTAAACTACAAGGCCCGTTGGCATCGCCTCTATTACTTGGCACAGTTTGAACAGTTTAATCAATTTTCGAAAACATAAATAAATAAAAGTCATCCACTCAATTTCTTCCACTTTTTTTCCGAAGCCAGGATTACCTGATTTATGGACTAAAAAAACAACAACTTATAACCTGGGCAAAAATAACGGGTGGGAAAACGGTGAAACAAAAGGTGAACCGGTTTACGGGTGTAAGCAGTCTATTTCTGCCACCGCGAGCGACGACTGCCGGCGGCGCCGCGCGTGGAACAGGCGCGCAACCGCCCTGCGCCGATCACGAAGGGCGCGCGCGGGCAAGCGCGGTGGCGCCGGGGCCACAGCTCAAATTGTTCAAGGTCATTTTTGCGATAAACAGCGAATATCAATCCAATCAGTCATTTGGGTTATCGGCAGCGTCTCTTTCAATACTTTTTCGAAACACCATCGAATTATAAGAAGAAAACAGCGAAATATAAACAGGACATACGATTTCTTAGAATAAGTGTACTCAAACTCCATCTTTAGATACAACTCATTTGTGTCGATTGCTCTGAACATTGGGGGGACTGTTACATGCTTAACCGACGTCGGCCGTTAAGAGTGTCTTTTCGTTCCTCCCTGCTTGGTGGCGGTAAGTCGATGTTATAACAGAACAGTATTTCCAAGAAATTACCTACGCGTGAAACACTTCTCATTTGCAATCCAAGTTCAACTCTTGACAGACTATTACATTACCCTTTTTCATTTTCAACGAAAGAATTATACAAAAAATTGTTAAGGACTCGGTAGAATTGGTTGATATTGTTCAACCGTTTTAAAAATGTGTAACCCTAAAGTTCATAGCATTTCAAATGTAATGAGAGAGTATTGAAGAAATTACAACCCTACTAGAATGAAGACCACCCAAATAAAAAGAGAATATTTACACGAAAACATTGTTCATATCTATT